TTCGTTGGTTTGCCGCGGCATCCTATGTAAAGGAGCTTTTGACAAACCCTATGTCTTGTAAGTGTCTGTGTTTTTGCTGGTTGTGCTTTTGACCATGTCATCCCCATGTCTTCTGCCTCGTTGTTGTTCAGGCTCATCATCATAAGAACTGGGCATTTTCAGCAACAGGGTTCTGTGACTTTCGTGGCAGGCGCAGTGTTTCGCTCATTTGCAAGTGGTGCGGAGACGAAAGTGAGCCCTCTGCGGGGATCGTGCGCATCGAAGCGCTCTGTGTCTTGACAGATGTCGAAGCGCTCTCGCTGTGGCGCCGCGTGAATGCGTCTTGAGCTCGGCGAACCCTCTGCGGAGATTGTGCGCTCTCGCTGCGGCGCCGTGCGAGCGTGTCCTCTGCTCGGCAAACCCTCTGCGGAGATCGCGCGTGTCGAAGCGCTCTCGCTGTGGCGCCGTGCGAGAGTGTCTTGCGCTCGGCGAACCCTCTGCGGAAATCGTTCGTGTCAAAGCGCTCTCGCTGTGGCGCTGCGCGACTCTGTCTTGAGCTCGGCGAAGCCTGTGCGGGGATTGTGCGTGTGGAAGCGCTGGAAGCGCTCTCGCGGTGGTGCCGTGCAAATGTGTCTTTTGGCAAACCCTTTGCGGAGATGATGCGTGTCAAAGCGCTCTCGCCGTGGCGCCGCGCGAATGAGTCTCGAGCTCGGCGAACCCTCTGCGGAGATCGTGAGCGCTTCGCTGCGGCGCCGTGCGAGGTGCGAAGTGCACTCCCGCAGCTCCGGCTGCGCAATCGCAACGTTTACGTACAAAGCTTGTACTCGCAGAGTGAACTCCTGCAGCGGCCCGAGGTTCGCAACTTCTAGGTGCAAAAGTAGTTCGTGGAGTACATTCCCCCAGCTCCAGCTGAAACCTCGCAAGTTTCTTAAACACAAAAGTAGTACACGAAGTGCACTCCCACAGCTTGAAAATCGAACAAATCGCAACTTTTCAGCGCAAAACAAAGTAGCACACAAAGTGCGCCCCAGCAGCTCTCGAAATTGGCAAGGTTTTAGTACAAAAGTCGTTCGTGAAGCGCGCTCCCGAGCTTGAGTTTCAAAGGAGTTTGCGAAGTGCGTTCCCATGGCTCTGGCGAAGCGCATTCGCGCAGCTCCAGCTGAAAAATCACAAATTGCTACGTGCAAAGGTGCGCGCGAAGTGCGCTCTCGCATCACCAGCGACTCGGAAGGGTCGCAACTTTAAAATGGAAAAGCAGCACGCAATTTACACATCCCGCAGAAGTAGTATGCGAAGTACACTTCCGCAGCAAGAAACCGCCAGCCTTCTTGCGCAGCCAAGCTGCGCGCAGATATGGACAAGAGAGTTTTTCAAGAGAGAACATGAAGGATTTGGCAAGAGAGGTTGCAGAGCATCATGCGCAGCATCATGCGCTGCGTCGTGCGCAACGTCATGCGACATCTTTCGCAACAGTACGCGCAACATCACGCACAGCTTCGTGCGCAGCATCAAGCCACAGCATCGCGCGCCCGAGCAGTCGACAGCAGAGAGTTTACGATTTGTTTCTCATCAGGTTGGAGAGGTGTCAGGCTGTAACGTCTTTCTATGCTTCTAGGCCACCTGTCGTCAAGTTAAACCCAATAATACTATGTGGAGTCTCTTGCCGGGAGTCATTTTAGTTGATTCTGCGTGGGAAACACCTAGCTTGGCTGTCTGTTTCCTTTCGCCCGCCTTCGTCTGGCGGTGCCGCGTCTCTGCGTCGTCTGCCATGAGGCGGGCTGCTTGGCACCTGGCCGCATCAAGCTCCCCATTGCTTCTGCATCTCTGGATGGTGTCACACTCATTTCCCGAGGAGATTGACCAGAAAGAGTCCAAAACTTTTTGTTTTCCAAGTCATACAACATGTTACAAACCACGCATGCGGAACCAAAGGAACTGTGCTGGCTCTTCGCTGGCTCCATCCAAACTGGGGGCAACTGGCATCTGGGGGGCTTCTCCGGGCCGGATGTACCACCCCTCCCCCCAGCGCGAACCCCCCCCTCTCGTCCATTACCTTAGCCTTATCCTTCTTGCAGCGCAACCGCGCTAGTACGTAGGAATCTTGAATAAGATCGGGCAAGCAGACTCGCGAAACATGCACCAACAAGAACACCTCTCCACCGCAAGTCAGACGGAAACACGGCAACACTATAGACATATATATACATATATATATATGTATCAATACATATACATATGTATATATGGTACCCCCCCAGTACCCAGGTGTTGTTGCATCATGTATCAAAACCATTGATATTTACAGTGTATATTGATTGAACTCATGCAAATTATGCAAGGCCATTTGGTGGACCAAAAACCAAAACACCAAAACACCAACCAAAAAAAAAAACAATCCTAGCCCCCACCATGGCTGAGATTCTTTGATTTTTTTTGCGCTTTTTTTGGTTCTTTGGTCCAGGGAAATGTTGCGCAACAAATTCCAAATGTTGCGCAACATTTGCGGAGCATGAGAGGATATGTGAACCTTTGTGAAAGAAGGCATGTTCTGGGTGAGAGGATATGTGAATTTTCTGTAGAGAAGAGCTATTGAAAATGACATGTTTTGTGTGAGAGATGATATGTGAGTCTTTGTGGAAGAGTCAGGGTTGCAGTGATTCATAAAAGTACAGCAAAAGACAGAAAATATCATGTAAAACCACCATTTATGTAACACAAACTGTCCCAGCCATAGCCTGGCTTTATTCTACACAGGGTTCACTTTCCTTGGCAACTCTTTCACATATGCTGCGATTGTTTCATTGAAAGAAGACATGTAAAAAGACAGGTGCTGGGTGAGAGGATGTGTGATTTTTCTGTGGAAGAGTCTTTGAAACAAGGCCTGGTTTGTGTGGGAAGATATGTGAGTTATCTGTGGAAGAGCCTTTGAAAGAAGGCATGGTTTGTGTGGGAAGATATGTGAATTGAATTTTGTGTGGAAGAGCCAGTGAAAAAGGGCATGGGTTTGGTGAGAGGATATGTGATTCCTTGTGAAAGAAGGCATGCAAAAAGACATGTTTTGGGTGAGAGGATGAAAGCATTGTCTGTAGAGAAGGGTTATTGAAAAGACATGCCTTGTGTAAGATGATATGTCAATATTCTGTGGAAGAGTCTTTGAAAGAAGGCATGGTTTGTGTCGGAAGATGTGTGAGTTTTCTGTGGAAGAGCCTTTGAAAAAAAGGCATGTTTTGGTGAGAGGATATGTGAACCTTTGTGATCGAAGGCATGTAAAAAGACATGTTTTGGGTGAGAGGAGGAATGATTTTTCTGTAGAGAAGAGCTATTGAAAAGACATGCTTTGTGTGAGATGATATGTGAATATTCTGTGGAAGGGTCTTTGAAAGAAGGGGTTTGTGTGGGAAGATATCTGAGTTTTCTGTGGAAGAGCCTTTAAAAAACAAACATGTTTTGGTGAGAGGATATGTGAACCTTTGTGAAAGAAGACATGTTCTGGGTGAGAGGATATGTGAATTTTCTGTAGAGCAGAGTTATTGAAAATAACATGTTTTGTGTGAGAGATGATATGTGAGTCGTTTTGGAAGAGTCAGGGTTGCAGTGATTCATAAAAGTACAGCAACCGACAGTACATATCATGTAAAACCACCATTTATGTAACACAAACTGTCCCAGCCATAGCCTGGCTTTATTCTACACAGGGTTCACTTTCCTTGGCAACTCTTTCACATATGCTGCCTTCGTTTCATTGCAAGAAGACATGTAAAAAGACATGTGTTGGGTGAGAGGATGTGTGAATTTTCTGTAAAAGAGTCTTTGAAACAAGGCCTGGTTGTGTGGGAAGATATGTGAGTTATCTGTGGAAGAGCCTTTGAAAGAAGGCATGGTTTGTGTGGGAAGATATGTGAATTGAATGTTGTGTGGAAGAGCCGTTGCAAAAGGGCATGGGTCACGTCCAAGGCGTCTTTCTTCAATGAGGCAAACCTCCTTCCTCTGGTCTCCCAGTGTGCAAATCTGAGCTATTCTTCCTGCCTGCTTCCGCGGTCAAAGCACGTCTGAACCAAGCCCAAACCTGGGTACGGGGGGGGGGGGTAGCATATATATATATATATATATATGTCTGCAAGTGCCTGCAACTGTCAATGCATCTGACTCAGAAACCCTGACAGAGGCACTGATTCGATGGAAATGGAACCCATCTAGCCGCGGGCTTCGAATACCTACGAAGCCATGAAGGACTGCTGGTGTGTCCTTTCCTAAGTGGACTGTAAGCATTGGATATCCCTGAGCTTCATTGCACTGATAGTAAGATTAGGGAACTCCCCCGCATGAGTTCTCCAAACCGATGGTTCATAAAGAGGGGTCCCCGATGTTGACTACAATGGGCCCAACATGCATCGAAAACAATAGGTGCATTGGCCATGAAAACAAGAAAGAACCAGCCCACCCAACATTTGGGCCACTAAACAGCAGGGCATGGTTCATTGTTTCCTTGAGGGGTCCGTGATGCTCCTCATTTATCCATATCCCAGGCAAGCATGTTATAGATGAACATCTTCTATACATGAGGTCCTTGACTTTACAGCAGGCCTTACTTCTCTCAGAAACGGGTTCTACTCAGAACGGCCAACCGGAGCCCTGGCCCATGCCATCCATCGGACTGCTTGCCTCAAACCCCACAAGGGCAAAACACCAGCCACTAAGGACCTCGGTTGCCAAAGCCGAGGCAACGCACCACTTCGACGTAACAAACAACATAGTGTCTCCAAACAATCGGACTGCTGGCTCGTCAATGGGGAATGATGTAAGCTCAATACATGTAGTAGGGGTAAGAAGTATGTTAGGCCTGGATTGGGAGAATGGGGAGAATGCAGCTTTGGGAGACTTCTGCCCCTAGCTCTGCTGGTTCTAGCACAGGTGAGGAAGCAACCCCAAGCAAGACTCCATGCTTGGAGGTCAAGATTCCACCCCAACTTAGGCAGTATTCCAAATTAGGAGCTTGAAGTGCCCCGGGAAGTCTGCTGGGAACTTGGAACCTCTGGCTGTCTACTCCAGCCATACATCATGCGAGGCAAACTCCCTTGCCAAGGTCTCCAACAACTTCTGAGATGAAGGAAGTTCAAACTCAATTGCGCCAAGTTGCACCCAACTGCACCATATTGTGATCAATTGCGCCAAGTTGCACCCAACACCGCAAAATTGCACTCAATGGGCCTCAATCAAGCACGCTCAATTGAGCTAGATTCGCGTTCAATAATGCTCAGTTGCTCCCAATTGGTCCTCGTTGCACTCAACTATGCTCAATCGCGCAATTGCACGATGGCGCCGAATTCTGCTTCACTTTGCCCAGTTGCGCCCAATTATGGTCAACCGTGCCGCATTGCGCCTGTTTACGCCCAACTGCACCTCAGGCGACATAAGATCGTCTGCCGCCTCTCTCGCGCACTCAGCACAGCGCCAACTTGGAACACTGGCCACCCTTTTTGGCATCCAGGCTTGCAGTGAGAATAGCTGAACCAAGGCTGCCCCCTTTGACGCCTGACAATATTCGGGTCACGTAGAATCATGCGCCTTTGCTGTTCTGTAATTGAACTGGTGCCAGACAAGACTTGGTTCGGGGGCTTGGATGCACGTGCTATTCCCATGGAACATTCCGAGCTCTCATTCCGCACGGGAGGAGCTGAGGCTCTGGCGGAAAGAAAAGCCAAAGCACCGTCTGCACGGCAGAAATGCGATCCCTGGCCAGGGAAAACGGTCAGAAAGTTCCTGACACGCTCATAGCCTAGCTATCTGCGGATTGGGGGAACTTCTGTGGCCGAACAACGAACTGTGGGAAGCAACGGAGCTGACTGATTCGAGGCGCTTTTTGAGACGGGCTGGGGATGGGTTGCCTGAAGATGGTGCCTCCGAGCTCGATCCCTAAGGGGACACCACAAGCATGTTAACTGAACAGCAAGCCATTTGACAACTGAATAAAGCAAGGAATGCATAAAAATAAACGAGTAAACAAAGGCCAAGGATATGTTGGCGTCGCCTCGCGCACTAGAGTTAGAGGGCAGACCGATTGTTTGCTGAGGGTTCTCCTGGCAGAATGAGGTTTTGCAGGGAGAGCAAACACAGATGCACATGTACCCGCATGTATTCGTGTATATGCTGCTGTCTCGTCGATAGAGTGATAGTCAAATTGAGTGCAACGGCAAGCTCATGTTGATGTGAGGTGTCGCTTGGATCCAGGGTTAAAGCTCTTCGCCAAGCCCTCTGCCCCAATGGAACGAGCTGCTCCGGAACATTGTAAATTGATGTACTACTAGGCCGGCGCCTTTTAAAAAGGGTGCGGAGCTATTTCGTTGTTCTTCTTGGCCAGCAAATTATCGTCCTTTTAAAAAGGGTTGTTTTGTTATTGGAAGGCTCTCCCTTGCGGCCCTTGCCCATAGGAAAGCAGACTCGTTTCTGCTTCCCTTGGGGCCCCCGGCTGGATCCAAAGCATGGTGGTGGTCACGTCACCAATGGGACTCCAAGCTCCACCAGCATTGGCAGCGATCACTGCCAGACCGCCGCACAGCTGGCGGTACTCCTGGCTGAGGTTTGAGGCGTCAGAACACCATCCATGTTGCACCTCAAGTGCGGAACCCTATTTCTGAAACAGGGACATGAATGGTAGGATCCTCCATATATATATATATATGTTCCAGGCCGCGGACCCCCCCCCTGCCCCCCAACCCCCCCCCCGGGGGGAATGGGGTGGGGTGCGAATTATATATATATATATATATATATATATGTATATGCACATGGTGTATATGTCATACATATGCTTGCCGCGGCTGGAGAATACTCCGGTCAAGCGAAAGCCGCTGAGTCGAAGCCTGACCCTCCGAAAGAAGTTGAAAGACCACCGACCCCAGCGTCGCTTTCGTTGTAAATGGCCATCCATCAGACCCTTGGGCGTTCACTGAAGTTGAGCACCTATGGCGAAGACTTGCCAGCAATGATTGTGCCAGGTCATGGTGCCTAGTGTGGTAACAAAATGTATGGAGTTGGATGTCCATCACACGTAAGATCCTGAGTCTATCAAGCTCTCACACTGAACGCTTGCTAGCCCCTCCTGATTCGACTCATAAATTACCGTTTCGGACAGCCAGGAACTCGACAATGTTTCCTAGTTTCGATGTGCCCAGTTGAGGATACCAATGAGTATGATACACCGCTTCAATAGGCTTAATCCCATCTTCGTTTGCGCTGAGCTAGTTGTGATCGAGTTTGTTGTCTCTTTTGCCTCTATACTAACTAGGTACAACTACATGTAACATGTGCGTCATGTTTTGCCACCCACTGGGTGCTTGATCGTGCTTGCGCATGATGTGTTTCACTTGCTCATGCACCTCCTTCGTAGAGCATGACATCTAATCAATATCCGCGATTGGTCATTTGCTCTCCTTCGTGCTTTGTTGCATCCCAACATTGAAGGGATCAACGTATGTTGTGATTTCGGATCAAACCATTGCATTGTGTGTGTGTGCCATTCCCTCGCTTTCTCGGGCATGCTAGCGTTCATGCTTCTCATGAGCCCAGAGACAGAACTATAAACCATGAGATGGACCTAATCAAACAAAGTTTAGAATAAACTTCCGTAATAATGACACTAAGTGAAGGTATCATGTAAAAGTGGATGAGAGCGGAAGGAAGAGAATAAAAAAGAAGAAGAAGATAACCAAAGGCTGTCGTGAAAAAGTAGATAAGAAAGGAAGAAGAGAAGAGAAAAGAAGAGAAAAAAAGAGAGGCAAAGAGAAGAGGTGACACGTGATCAGGTTGCGTGACAGGTGCAGCACTTGGGGATAGAACGTGGCCAAAGTAAGCGCTGTCGGCACTCCGTGCCCTGGCAAAGCATGCAAAAGTTCTATGCCCAGTATGCAAGGCTAGTCTCCAAAGCCCTTCTGCACACAACATCCGCAACCAACAACATATCTCTTGCGAGGTCCTTTGCAAAGCCTTCGCGGAGCCTAAATACAAAGACCCAATGTCGCTCTCCTTCACATCTCAACAAAATCGTTCAGACACTTACACAAACGGTTTAAAATGGTTGGCTTACTGTTGTTTGCCTTCAGAATGGGGCTGGATATGGCTGGATCAACCAACAGAATAAACTGAATTTGTTCAGCACCTCACTTCTGCTTAATTACCTTAAACGGGCCTTTGGTCTGCTTGATTGAACTGTTTGCGCCCGACCCTGCCTTGAGCCAGAAAACGGGACACCACACTTTCGTCACCAGCGAGTCATTTCTGTGCGAAAGTTCTTGGCCCGCCTGGTTGTCCGGGGCCAAGCGCCGCAGGATCTTCACTGCCACAATGGTGGAGGTGAGATTGTCAATTACCTGCCAAGACTTCCAACCCGAAACGTGGATGTCACCCTTCGAAATCCGTTTGTTTCATGCCAGAACATTCCTACAGGAAAGGGGAGCGCTGGCTGGCCCACGCTTTTCTCAGGCACAGGCGTCCAGATAACTGACGTGATGGCAGCTCAAATAGTTTTCCAGGGTTGCTGTGCACTTTTTTTTCAAAGCCCCGTCTTGCTCCACACATGCCACTTGGTGCAGGCCTGTTGTTGCATTATACGCTATTCATCCCCGGGATCACACACACACACACATTCAACCACATGCCAAGCAAATCAAAATCATTCAAGCAATGACAAACAAACAAAACACAAATGCCAAATCAAAGCATTCAACAGAAATCCGAACGCAGTTGCTTCGTGTAACGGCTAAATTGTAGCCACTGAAACCCAAAAAGAAAGGGGCACCCTGTTTGTGTGCCTTTTTGGCAGCCCCTTTGGTTTGCTGAACTGGTTGCTTGGCTGGCAGGCTAGCCTTGGTCGGTACATTTCTGCCTTGATAGACAATTCAAAGCCATTTGCTCCTGACAGTTGACACCTCAGCACTATTGGCGGACATCAAACACAAATCCAAACACTACGTGTCCCAATTTCACCCCAAATCATTTGAACGACTCTTGAAGGAAATTGAAGTGAATGCTCCTTGCACACCCCACGAGTGCCCCACCTAAGAATGGCCCCATCCTCATAAAATATTAGTGTAAATTCTGATGCCCTTTGTTGCGCTCCTGGGGCATATGAGTGTGCCTGTTGCACTTCCGAAAACTGACCTACTGGACAGCCCCGAATCAAATCGAGATCCATGGTTGGCATACTGCATAGACAATGGCTCGCTGCACAGACTGGCCTCAACATGACGACTCTCTCGTCTCAGCTCGAGTGCGGAAGTCGGGTTTGCTTCAATGCAAGAGACACATCCTGACACATTGCTGGGGTTAGACCGCTGGGCTGTGGGAAGGTGGAATTTGGTCAGCTTCCCTTTAGATTTTGGCCGCTGCACTTGCAATACGGGATGGCAGGGGCACGGGGCTGAAATGACCAGGAACTTAAAATTTATTGACCAGACTCAAACCCATACAAATGCAACCTATTAGCAGGTCAGACGGAAAATGATGGAAGCCCAACAAACAAGAGCAACTCGCTGGCATAAGCTTTTGTCCTTTATGTCAGTCCCCCGAATAAACCACGGCTCCGGCTCCGAATTTTGCCGGCGCGACGGAGCTGAGCATAAATGTCAGGATGCAAATGATGGGCATGAGCCGATCCTGGCGGTAGAGCCATAGGTGTTCTTGGTTGTCACCTTGGTAACGGAAACCCAACGGGCCAAAGGGCAAAGAGCACCCACCGTTGGGTCCTCCGACTTTGAAAACTACGACGTGAACAGCACACACACACACATCATCTAACATGGAGAGATAAAGTTCAGACCAAACACAAGCAACACAATTATTCGGGTGTACCTGAAGGGCGGAAATAGAAGTCTACGTTTGATCTCTTGATATCCTCCCTTCTGGCCAAGAAGCAAAGACCATTGCTAGTCGCGGTTGGGGCGCTGCTCATCTGCTTATAATGCAAGCGAATGATTTGAGACCCTAAAAGTCTTACTCGTGGCCTCGACAATCTGTTTGGCATACT